TAGTGAATTTTTAATTTGATTCAAGTAAAATTTACATATAAGAGTGTCTGTTGTATATCTGCCATTGTTATATTCATTTTGGCACCCTTTGAGGTTGCCCCTTATTGTAAGTATTATCCCATGCGGCAGATGAGGGCAACCATCAAGCTCAGAGACTTTTGCCTAAGTATGGTGACTGTATTCAGACCTGGATGTTTTCCTTCTTTCTAGCTGTTTGAGAGCAGCCCTTTCCCATTACATAATTAATGCCCCCCCATTTGTAATTCAAGCTGGCCTAGAACTCATTGTGTAGCTCAGGCCAGCATTGAATTTAGGTCAGTCCTCCAGCCTCAGCCTGCCAAGCACACTGGGATTACAGGTGTACACCATCTCTCCTGGCTAATTGCACTATTTTTATATCTTATATTTACACTTCTGTTCCTTACCTTTCTTTTGCCACCCTCACAGTACGTTTTCAAAACTTTAGGAAAAAAAACAACTTGTAAATGCCCTTATTTATGGACAATTTATTGTAGAGGATTCTTCTCAAATAGCACTTGTCTGGGATGTTTATCAATATATATGTTCACTATTACTTTCATAGCTAAAAAGCTTCATGTTTGCTTCTTTAAAATTCTTTCTTTTTTTTTTTTTTTGAGGTACGGGGATTGAACTCTGGACCTTGAGCTTGCAAGGCAGGTGGCAGCAGCACTGAGCTAAATCCTCTGCCCTAAAATTCTTGAATGGGAAAAAAATACCACTGCTAGTCCCAGAGAACTGTTTCTTTTCTCTTCAACAGTTTTCTGTTTTTATGACATGCTTAATGTATTGCAGCATTGTATGAAGAACTAGTGTCATTTTTTGGATATACTTTTCTACCTTGGTTCATCCAGTCGTTTAGCTTTATGTGGCTGGGTGTTAAAGCATCAGTAATTATGAAAATGAATATTGTCAATACCTATGTTTTCTTTTTAAGTGTCTCCATACTGTATATTCAAAATACAAACTCATTGCAATGACTTTGAATCTGTATTTAGAATTGAGTTGATGGGCCAGGGATTTAGCTCAGCAGTTTGGTGGCCTGCCTTGCAAGTGCAAGGACCCGAGTTCAATCCCCGGTACCCCCCAAAAAAACAGAAACAAACAAAAGAGAATTAAGTTGAAACTTTATGATAAAACTAAGGAATGTTTTGATTTTCTGTGGCCAAATACTGGGAATTTGGGGGTTTTGGTTTTTGGTTTTATGGTGCTGGAGACCCAACTCATATCATCGTGCATACTGGGCAAGAACCCTATCACTGCTCTGTGTATGCTTTAGTCCCCGAGACAAAAGACACTGCAGTTGCTTGATAGTTCAAGAAGTGGTTTTTATGGGCTCGAATCACATTTGAGGGAAAAGATTTTCTTCTTTAAAGTGTTCAAGATGTGGTTCAGGATCCAGCTAGAAATAACACATAAATACCAATTTCATAACAATTGAGAAAGGAGCTAGACTTTGTGGCAACATACCTGTAATCCCAGACCTCAGGAAGCTGGGGCAGGAGGATCACTGCAAGTTTGAGGCCAGCCTGGTCTACATTTTTAAGAGCCAGCCTGCACTACATGGTGAGACTCTTATCTCCCTTGCAAAAAAAATCAGAAAGGAAGTCACCATAACAGTGATGGCATAAAGGCATGTGCCATATTCTTTGGCACATACTCCTTATCCATCATCTGAGCATCTGTTGAGTTTGTCAAATTGTACACAACTTGAGTTGCTCTCCCACATTATGAAGTACATTCATATCACACAGCCTTTAACAAAAATAACACCTTATATTGCAGTTGGTTCTTTAAGTGGACATTTGTAACTGTTGATTTTTGGATCATTCCACATGATATATCTGAAGTTAAGTGAATAAATTGTTAGTGGTGTACTCATTTTCCACAGGAAAGGATAACATTAAACATCTTCATATGTCTAGTTAAACAGCAGATCCAGAACTTGACATTAATATTCCTGTATTATAATTATCATTACTGTTCACTAAATACCTTCTTTATCTCTAACATGTCTAGGCATTATCTTTTATCCTTGTCTTTCCTACCAGATAGTTCTTATTATCACTCACTATATCTGTTGAAAAAGTAGGCTTAGACCAAAGAAAAAAGAGGCCAGGAAAGGAGAAATGATTTCCTAAAACCCACATAGGTCATAAGTAACAGAAAAAGATTCATACCAAATCTCTCAGTCCCCATAACTCTGCTTTTTCCTGCTTTATTTTTGCTTGAAACGTGGAGCAAGGCTAGTGTTGAGGGTTTGTGGACAGTGAAGAGTGCAGGAGCTGGGTAATAATCTTTAAACTTTTCTCTTTTTTTGGTACTGCGGATCGAACTCAGGACCTTGTACTTGGGAGGCAGCCATGTAAACAGTATTCTTGAGGCTTGATTTTGCACAGTCTAAGCTTAGAGTTGGAAGCAGTATACAGTTCAGTGTTCTGCAGCTGAACTGCTCCAGTTTTATCCTGCCAAGTGCTGAATGTTAAAACACATCTCATTGCTAAGCTCTCCTCAGGCCTTTGGTGTTCTGGCTTTAAAGGCAGGTGGGCTAAAGAAAGGCTCCCACTAGGTTGTTGCATGATGTACACAACACAAACAGTACAAGACAACTGTCAGTTCCTTCCTTCCCTTCTTTCCCACTCTCTCCAGAAGGCTGGGCCCCAGATGGAAGAGCTGGAAACATATCAAATATTTTCTGAAGGGCATTGAGAAAACACTGTCAGGGAGAAAAAGGCAAGTGTAACAGCTCCTAATCACTCCACTAATCAGACAGGATGACCATTAATTTCACAAAGAAAATGTCCTTAACAAAAATAGGACAAGAGCTGGCAGCATTGCCATGTGGTCCTCAGAGTACTGCCCATTATTTTTATTTTTTGTTTTTGGTATCAGGGGCCAAACTTGGGACCTTGTGCCTGCCTGCAAGGCAGTACTGCCCATTTTTGTAATGGGATTTGTGGGTTGGAAACTTGGCTTCAAGTCCCATCGGTGTGCAAAGGTGTGCCCAGTTGTAAGTATCATGAATGAATGCTTTGTTGTTTCATCTTTCATTTGTGTCTCTCAGAAAGCAAGCTTTGAGCTAACATTCACATTTGAACCTTTGCTACCCATTTCCTTGCATTTCACTTGAATTCAGCAGTTACTGGAGATTGAATATGTGGTTCTCAAATGAAAAATTTGGACTACTGAGAAAAATATAATTCCACTTAAAGGTGACCTATTAACAACCAAGTATATAAGAAATCACCTTTAGGGGAAAAAAACTACTTAATATATATATATTTTTTTAGTCCAGGTGTGATGGCATGCACATGTAATGTTTGGGAGGCTGAGGCAGGAGGAGTCCAAGTTTGAGGCCAGCCTGTACTACATTCATGTTTGAGGCCAGCCATGTTGCCCAGGCTGGCCTTAAACTCCTGGACCTAAGAGATCCTCCTGCGTTATTCCAGTGAGTATCAAAGACTGTAGTTGTTACTAGCTACCATCTAGTCCAGTGAAAAACAACTTCTTATTAGCTTTTTTTTTTTGGTACTGGGGATTGAACCTCAGGACCTTGCACTTACTAGGCAGGTCTAGTACCACTGAGCTAGATTCCCTGCACTTTATATTAGTTTGGGGTTTTTTTTGGTGGTACCTGAGATTGAACCCAGGAACTTGTGCTTGGAAGGCAGGTGTGGTGCCACTGAGCTAAATCCCCAGTTCTATATAGCATAAAAAATGGTATTAGTCTTATTCGTGTGAAAAAAAACTAATTTTTTTTTTGTGGGGGGGTACCAGGGATTGAACTCGGATCCTTGCGCTTGCAAGGCAGGCCACCGAACTGCTGAGCTAAATCCCCATCCCAAAAAACCTAATTTTAAATTTAATTTACCTCTGGAATTTTGTTCACCACCACTTTTAAAGACAGGGTCTCACTATACAGTTCTGGTTGGCCTTGAACTTACTATGTAGCTAGCATAGGCTGTCCTTGCAGCAGTCCTGCCTCAGCTTCCCTAGTGCTGGAATTGTAGGTGTGTGCCACCTTGCCTGGCTTGCTGCCCTTTAAAGTTATCAAACAGCTTTTTATTATGAATTAGCTGCATGAGTGAAATAGTCTGTATGTAGTTTAGAATCAGATCTAGTTTTAATCTTTTTAAAATAATATGTCACGGGTGATACTTATATACCAGATGTTAAAATTATTGACTCCACCTTTTTTCCTAGTGTAGTTGGCATATATACTACTTCATTATAATAATATTTTATATGCAACTGATTATGATTCTATTTGTGTCATGCAGTTGAAGCCTCATGTTTTTTTGTTGAAGCCTCTGGATTAGATAGTTCCTATATTAGTTCTTTTTCTGTATTAATTTCATTCATTTGTAAGAAGTCAAGAAAGAATGCATTTGAGGTAAACCAAGTTTGTAACCTGGTTTATTCTTTTCTCCAAATCGTTATTTTCAGTTCACAGCACCCCTTGTCCTTCTTCCCTTGTTGGAATTGCTAGGGTTGACAGAGTAATCCACAGTGGGTGGTTCATGACAAGAGAAATTTATTTGCTCACAGTTTAGCAGATCAGAAATTCAAAATTAAAATAAAGGTATCAGCAGTGCTGACTTCTTGGGACCTCAGAAATTGGTTTCATGGCTCTTCTAGCTTCTGGTGCTGGTTAACAATTCTTGGCAGTCCTTGGTTTGTAGATTTATTGCTCCTGTCTCTACCTCTATTATCACATGGTTGTTTGTCATTTTCTTCACATTCATTTCCTGCTGTATTTGCGTCTCTTTTCTTTAATGATGCCATTCAGAATGATCTTCCTCTCTTAAGAGCCTTACTTTAGTTATATCTTCAAAGACCCTTTTCCCAAATAAGGGACATACCTTTTTGGGAACAAACATTCCAATCACTGTACTAAGCATGCTCTTAACCTCTTAGCTCTCCAGGAGAATATGTTGATATTTCAATTTGATTTTGCTACTTTTATTGTCTTATAAGAAACTCTGAACTCCTTTTGTTTTCTTCTCTGCAGTTGGTTCAGAGAAAAGGGTCCCAGCAATGCCTGGATCGCCTGTGGAAGTGAAGATACAGTCAAGATCCTCACCACCCACCATGCCACCCCTCCCGCCAGTAAATCCTGGAGGACCGAGACCAGTGTCCTTTACTCCTACAGCATGTGAGATCTCTTAGTTACTTGAGCTTATGGTTCAGAGTGACATTTGGATATGTGATTGATTTCCATTAAACCTTCCACCTGAACTAGTCATTATTTCAAATGCTATTACCAGGCTTTGGGGTACATGCCTGCAATCCCAGCATTCAGGGGTGCTGGGGCCAGAAGATCACACACCTGGATGATTTGGAAGAGTGAGGTCCCTACCCCTCCACTTTTTTTCCCTGCACCAGGGAATTAACCCAAATTCTTTGAACTAAGCTAAGTCTCCAGTCTTTTTGGTGTTTGTTTTGTGTTTCATTTTGTTGAGACAGAGTCTTGCTATGCAGTTCAGGTTGGCCTCAAACTCACAATGATCCTCCTGCCTCAGCCTCCCTAGTGCTGGGATTATAGGCATGCACCACCATGCCCAGCTCTAGCCCTTTTTATTTTTCATTTTATAACAGGGTCTCTGAGTCGATATATTGCCCTGGCTCAGCTGGAACTTGCAGTCCTCCTGCTTTAAGATCCTCGGAGTGCACTAGCATGCCTGACAAGATGATATATCAAAGTAAAAAAAAAAGAGTTGGGGCCCTGGGTTCATTTCTCCCGACACCCCACCAACACACACAAAGCTTGCTTATTCTTTCTGAAAATTGTAATTATCTTTGATATTTGGGGAAAAAGTGATTTAAATATTTTCCTACTCTTTGGCTAGTAAGTAACTCTTTTCTTTACTTCTTTGATTCTTGTCTTTTTTATTTTTTGTTACCAGGTCAAACTCATGACCTGGCGCTTGCGTGACAGCCAGCTGCACCACTGAGCTAAATCCCTGGCACTACTTCTTTGATTTTAACTTATTTTTTAATTGTAGTACTGGATATTTGAGACAAAGTCTTGCTAAAAGTCACTGGGTTGCCCAGACTGTGCTCAGTGTTGTGGTCTTCCTGCCCCAGCCCCTCAGATTGCTGGGATTATAGTCATATGCCACTACACTTGATGAATTTAAATTGTATTGATTTATAGGATTCCATGTATATTTTATAAAATTACAGAATTATTTCTAAAAATGTTCCAGGACTCTAAAAGAGAATGTAATAGTATTAATTTTCTGAGGCTGCCGTTAACAAAGTGTTGTGTCACTGGGTATCCTGTTTTCTTACCGTTCAGCTGAGTAGAAGTTAAGGATGAAGGGGTAAGTTTGCTTCTTGGGCTGTGGATGCCTGTCTTCTGTGCCCTCACATGGCTTTTCCTCTGCGCATAGGTGATCCCACTGTCTCTTCCTCTGCTTGCAAGGACACCAGTCCTATGAGTTAGGCTCCACGAATATGCCCTCCTTTAACCTTTGCCACTATTTCAATTCCTTATCCCAAATAGAGCTAAAATCTGAGGTAGAGAAGTTTAAGACTTCATCATAGCAGTTTTTGAGGGGACACAATACAGTCTGTAACAAGTACATTAGCCAATAAACATATAATAGGAACCTGACTCTGGGCAATCAGGGAAATGCAAACTAAAACCCATTCTGTATTACCAGAATGATCAAAATGAAATACCAAGTTTTGGTGAGGACATATAGAGCAACTTGAACACTCACACATTACTAGTTACAGTGTTTGGGTTTTGTTTTTGTTTTTATTTTAGATCTTTCTCATTGTCTAGTACTGGAGATTGAACCCAAGTCTTTGGCACTGAATTATATCTGCAACTCTTTTGGGACAGGGTTTCAATGTGTTTTTCAAATTAGCTTTGAACTCGGTTACCTGAGCTGGTCTTGAACTCACAGAGATCCTGTTGGCTCAGCCTTTTGAGTGCTGGGATTGCAGGTGTGCACCAGTGCGCCCAGCCTGGGTTTGAATTTTTGATCAACCTCCCTCACCTCCCAGAGTGCTGGGATTACAGACATGCACCACCATACCGAGTTTACATGTCTGTTTTAACATTTGCATGTTACTGGGGGTTTTTTGGTTTTTGTTTTGTTTTGTTTTTGAGACATGGTCTTGCTATGTAGTTGAGACTGAACTGGAACTCACTATGTAGCCCAGGTTGGTCTCAAACTCACAGCGATCCTCCTGCCTTAGCCTCCTGAGGGCTGGGATTACAGGCATGAGCCACCACACCTGGCTTTTTTGTTGTTGTTTTTTGTTGTTGTTGTTCCTTTTGGTACAGGAGATTGAACTCAGGTCCTTACACTTTCAAGGCAGGCAGTGGGTACCACTGAGCTAATTCCCCAGCCCTCTGTTTCAGTTTTTTACCTGACATTCTATCTCACTGTACAGCCATCTCAGGACAGAAATAAAGGGTTTTACATGGTCTTTTAGTGTGTGTTTTACAGTAAAGGAAAATACAAAAAGAAGTTAACAAAAGGCCCCTTGTGTTTTGCTTAAACTGAATCTCTCACTTTGGCTTTCTTTTAGTAAGCAATGGTATCAACCATTCTCCTCCTAACCTGAATGGTGCACCATCCCCACCACAGAGATTCAGCAATGGTCCTGCCTCTTCCACATCATCAGCACTGACAAATCAGCAGTTGCCAGCCACGTGTGGTGCTCGACAGCTCAGCAAATTGAAACGGTTTCTTACCACTCTGCAGCAGTTTGGAAATGACATCTCTCCTGAGATTGGAGAGAAGGTTCGATCACTTGTACTAGCATTGGTGGTAAGTACTGCATCAGCCATTATCAGCCATTGCCTGACAGCTGTCAGATTCATAGCTAGCAGAGAAATTGTAGATGTTTCTGCTCACTTCCAAAGTAGTATGGTACCTCAGTTTACAAACTTAATTCATGCCACACTGGAAAAGATGGCCACAATCATGTTCAGGCAGGAGAGTTAGCCACGGTCATGTTTGTCATCCTATCCAGAGTTCCCAAATAAAAACAAAATTTTGCCAAATGCTTCTGTTTATAAACCAAATTATTTTCAAACAAATGCACTTGTGAACTGAGATACCACTTTATAGTAATGAGGCAAATTCTATGGACTGGATTAGTTATAATTTGTATAAAATGGAATTTTAGGTTTCATAACAGTGTTTATCAAAGAAATAAAACTGTATAATACTTACCTTTCTGTTTGAAAAGCAGCTTTAGGTTTGTCTTAAAACTGGTTTCAGTAGCCCTGCTAAGGTCCAACCAAGTTAATGCAATTTGTAATTTAATATATTCAGTGCCTGGCATACTGTTTCCAAACCAAAGAAAAGAGAGAAGTAGTGAGTTTAATTTTCAAAAAAATAATTTGTGAAATTACAAGTTTTCATGGTCTCATATCAAAGAAATTACATTGTTTAGCTCCTCATGTATAAACAGTTTCTTTGGAATTTTATTTCTTTTTTTAAATTTAATTTATGGGTACATCCTAGGTAGACAGTACAGTTGGAATTTTATTTCTTTTTAAAATTTTTATTAGTGTATGTTTGCAGTACATAATCTTTTTTTTGTTGTTTGTTTTTTTGAGACAGGGTCTCACTATGTAGTTGAGACTGACCTGGAACTCAGTATGTAGTCCAGGCTGGTCTCGAACTCACAGCGATTCTCTTGCCTCAGCCTCCCAAGTGCTGGGATTACAGACATGTGCCACCATGCCTGGCTGCAGTACATAATCTTTATATTCATTATAGGGAGTTGTATATATATATACATATATATATAAAACATATTTTAATTCTTTTTATTTATTTATTAATTTTTTTGGTACACGGGGATCGAACTCGGGACCTTGCGCTTGTGAACCACTGAGCCAAATCCCAGCCCTAATTCTTTTTACTTCCCCTCCCCTTTCTACCTCCTCTTTGGAATTTTCCAGGTACACATATTTTTCTTTTTATACTGATTGTCCTGAGCCTTTGAAATGAGCGGTTTTCTGATACTGACAATTAGGTGCAATTTGACTGGGTTCATAAGGGAAGTGCTGCTAGTTTTTAGTATTTGTACATCAATTAAAGATTTATCCCAGTAAAACCACTCTGTGTCCTTCTTGCATGTTAGCCTGTATATGTAATGAAAAGATGAATCACAGTATCAGTCCTTCAAGTCACATTCTCCAGGTGTAATTCCAGGGACTACTGGGACTCCCCAGGATTCTTCACTGAGATACAAACCTATTTTCATAATAATAGTAAGGGCTTATTTGCTCAAACAAACTCCCACACTCATGGAGATAGAATCCCTGGTTTCTGCACTGAGCTACATTCCTTGTTTTGTTTAATTTTGAAACAGGGTCTTGCTAAGTTGCCCAAATTGGGCTCAAAATTTATTATCCTACTACTCAGCCTCAAACAGTGCTAGATTTACAGGCTTACATACTTTTTGTTCCTTGACATTTGAATTCTTTGTTTTTAGGGCAATGCCAGAGTCCCTGTTACCTCCCCGTATCTGGAGACTTGTTAGAAGGATTCACAAGACTTGCATTTAGTTGTACTTTTTTTTTTTTTTTCTCATTGAGTTTATTGGTACATTTTAGGTTTATAGTACAGTTACTTTCATCATTGGGATCTTGTACCTTTACATGGAAGGTCTTGGTTATAATTGTACTTATAACTAAAGTTTATTACAAGGGTATAGTATGGATGTATATCAGGATTTCAAAGGAAAGAGACACAGGCAGAGTCTGGAGGAATTGGTATACAGACTTCCTTATGCTGTCTTCCTTTCATGGTTGGTCACACAGAATGCACTCTCCCCAGCAAGGAAAATACAACAACATATGTACAGTGTTTTTGTCAAGAGAAGCTTCTTAGAAGCTGTGCTCTAGGCCTATTTATTTATTATTTGGTGGTACTGGAGGATCAAGCCTAGAGCCTTCACACTGAGCTGTATCCTCAGCCTTTTTTATTTTGAGATAGGGTTGTTTTTGTTTGTTTGGTTTTTGTTTTTGTTTTTGTTTGGTACCAGAGACTGAACTCGGGTCTTTGCACTTGCAAAGCAGGCTGCAGAACCACTGAGCCAAATTCCCAGCCCCAGCGAGATAGGGTTATTTTAAGTTGCTGAGGCAGGAGTCAAACTTGTGATTCCCCTGGCTCAGTCTCTCAGAGGGCTGGCTCATTAACAGGCTCACACCACCATATTCCCCTTCCCTTCATTTCCATATTTTTTTTCTTTATTTTCTGGCCTTGAACTCACTGTGTAGTCTAGGCTGGCTTCGACCCTGCTGCAGTCCTTCTGCCTCAGCCTCCCAAGTATTGAAATTGAAGGCATATGCCACCGTGCCCCATACATCAGTATTTTAAATGGCCACAACAACAGCAACAAAAAAAGGCCAGGCATGGTGACCCACCCTTGTAGTCCTAGCACTCGATGCTGAGGCAGGAGGATTGCTGTGAGTTTGAGACCAGCATGAAGTGCACAGCAGGACCCTGTCTCAAAAAAAAATTTTGCTGAGTGGTGGTTCACACCTGTAATTCCAGCATTCTTGAGGGAAAGGCAGGAGGATAAGCCATGTCTTTAATGCCATCCTGAAGTACATACAGAGACCCTGCTGCCTCAAAAAACAAAAAAAGACCACACTTTTTTTTAATAGAAGGATATAAAAGTACCACCTTAAGTAAAGAATTAAGTGGTATTTTATTTTTAAGTGGTATTTCATGTAATTATTTTTATATAAACCAACTTGTTTACCATTGTATACTTAGTACCTAAGAGCATCACAAAGAATTGCCTTTTAAAACATTTATGTGGAATATACATACAACATAACATTTATCATTTTTACAGTGTTTAGGTTTACAGTTTGATGACATTAAGTACATTCATATTATTCTGCAACTATCACTATCATCCATCTCCAGAATACTCTTCATCTTGTAGTACTAAAACCATTCCATTAAGGACCAGGGTGGAAGCTCAGTGGCACCACACCTGCCTGGCAAGCACAAGGTCCTGTGTTCATTTGCTGGTGCCACCAAAAAGAAACTTGTCCATTTCCTCTTCCCTCAAGCTGCTGGTAACTACCATTCTTCCATTTTCTGTAGTAACTGAACTTGACTATTCCAGTTTTATTGAACATGTCTTCAGGGTTTATCCCTATGGTAGTGTGTCAGTATTTCCCCCTTTTTCTTTTTAATTTTCTTTTCTCTTTTTTTTGATACCAGGGATTGAATTCCGATCCTTGCACTTGTGCAGCAGGCACCTGAACCACTGAGCTAAATCCCCGGCCCTCATTTTCGTTTTCCTTGTTGTTTGTTGTTGTTGTTGTTCTTGGAATTGAATTTAGAGCCTTTGCACAAACCTACATCCCTGGTCTTCTCCTTTTTTGTTTTTTTTTTTTTTTTTCTTTTTGGTACTGGGGATCAAACTCAGGACCTTGCGCCAAGTGGCAGCACCACTAGGCTAAACCCCCTGCCCTTCCCACTTTTGGTTTTTAATTTTTTTTTGTTTTTTGAGACAGGGTCTCACTATGTAGTTGAGACTGGCCTGGAACTCATTATGTAGTTCAGGCTGATCTTGAACTCACAGCAATCCTGCTGCCTCAGCCTCCCAAGTGCTGGGATTACAGGTGTGTGCCACCATGTCCAGTTCCCCTCCTTTTTTGAGATTTGGTCTCATCAGCCCAGGCTGATCTTGAATTTGTGATCCTCCTGCCTCACCCTCCAGAGAGCTGGGATTACAGGTATGCACAGCCACTCCTGGCTATTTCCTTTCTAAATTTGAGTAATAACATTCCATTGCATAGCTATACTACATTTTACTTGTTCACTCATCTGTTGATGGACTGTGAGGTCGCTTCTACATTTTCACTGTATGTATAAATCTTTTCCAAGCCATAATTTCATGATTCAGCCAGGTTGTAACATATATTAGAATTTCCTTCTTTTTAAGACTAATGTATATTGTATTGCACATACACACTACATTTTGTATCTATTTTTCTATCATTGGACACTGGGCTGCTTCAAACTTTTTTGTTAGGGGCTTTGTATTAGTGAGGGAAACCACTTGTCATCCAGGTTCCTACTGATAGATGCCTGCTAATGGCTCAACCTTATGAGCAGGCCTTTTAGAAGCAATTTTAGGTTTGTTCTGTTAACTCTTTCTGTGTAGGCACCATTATACATAATGTTCCTATAAACATTCTTGGATGTGTATGCAATGCACATAGCAATGAAATTCTGCTTATATAGGGCATTCATTTATGCAAATTTAGTACAGAAGACCATACAGTTTCCCTAAGTGTTAATGCCAGTTGATATTTTAACCTGCTGGGATTTTCATTAACATTACTATTGAAACTTTAGGTTAACAGAATACACAGGAAAAAATTTTGTTAACTGTAATGCTTATTTTGTTTTTTGTTTTTTTTTTGTTTTTTTTTTTTTAGAGACAAGGTCTTGCTGTGCAGTTCAGGCTGGCCTTGAACTCACTGTCTAGTCCAGGCTGACTTCGAACTTATGGTGTGATCTGCCTGTCTCGTAATTTTTTTTTGGTACTGGGGATCAAACTGAGGACTTTGCACTTGCAAGGCAGGCAGCAGCATCACTGAGCTAAATCACCCTTGTAATTAATTTTGGAAGGGGAAAAAAAAACTTGCAAAGAAGGAAGCAAGGACTTCTTAAATCTCATGATGGTTATATATAAACGAAAAACCTATAGCAATTATCATGGTTACTGGTTTCCTTCTGAGATCAGGAAGTGGATATGAATGTGCATTTGTTTTTAATTCAGTCTAAGAAAAAACATAAAGATTAGAGAGAATAGCAGGGTGTGGTAGTGCATGCCTGTGATCCCAGCATTGGGAGGCTGAGGCAGGAGGATCACTTTGAGTTCAAGACCAGCCTGGGCTCCATAGTGAGTTCCAGGTCAGTCTCAGGTACATAGTGAGACTCTGTCTCAAAAAACCGAAAAGAAAAGAACAAAACATTAGAGAGAGAGAAATAAAATTCCCATTAGAAGGAAAGTTAACATGTTCGTAGCGTTAAATTTGAATTTGTCTAAATCAACCAAGTATCTCCATGTTTTATTACAATAAATGTCAGTACTATTTTGGTAAGAAAATATAAGTGGAATCAGTCTTTCCAGGTGATGAAAACTTCATTAGCCAAAATTTTAAGACACAGTCAAGTAGCTGATGTTCACTTATCTGCAGCCTGTGTCACCAGTGTACAAAGAGGTAGGATGTTGGTACTCCCTAACTATACTAAAGTCCAGGCGGGGCAGTTTTCTACTGCAGGCTTAATATATGTCTCCTTGTTTGTAGGATATAGTTTGGAAGATAGTTTAGCAGTACTTCAAATCCCTGAAACTTAATAGTTCTTTGACTCACCAGTTTCACTTTTTAAAAATTCATCCTAAGAAAATAATAAACAAGATCATGCATTAAGGTAATCAATTCAGGGCTAGGGATTTAGCTCAATGGTTCTGGCCGCCTTATAAGCACAAGGTCCGGAGTTCAATCCCTGGTATCAAAAAAAAAAAAAGTTAATTCAGTACTGGGGAGGCTGATACAGGAGGATTGCTAAGAGTTCAAGGTCAGCCTGAACTACATAATAAGACTCTTGTGTCAGTGTCATCCCCCCACGCAAAAAGATAATGAGTTTAGGCCTAGAGATGTAGGGTGGTAGCTTGCTTGCTTATCATGTGTAAGGCCATGAGTTTTATTCCCAATACCTTTCCCCTTCTTTCCCCAAAAAGATAATTAGTTCCAATTAACTTAAAATTGAAGCCACTAGATCTTTATTGTCCTTTGTAAATTTCATCTGTTTAAAGGAATTTTATATAGTCATTAAGAATTAAGTTGTATTCTGCTTTAGAGGCAAAATAGAAAGGTATACTTCTCTTATTTCTCCTGATAAGTAGAGTAAGATGCCCTGGATACTTTGTATATATTTTAAAAATCCACAGTAAATGTAATCATTATGTATGGCAGACATGGAATAATAAAAATTAAAATGTTTTTTAAAACAAAAAAATAATAAAATAATAAACAATAAGAACTCTTAAAGATAGAAAGAAGATAATGGGCTCGCCGACGACCGTAGGACCCGAGGAACAGCATACCAGTGAGTTACCTAGGCTTTGTTTTTATTAATATATCCCGAATTGGCTGTGTGCAAAAACTGATAACTTGGTAACACCAGTGAGAACAATTTAAAATGCTTGTCAGGCTGGGTATTTAGCTCAGTGGTTCTGCTGCCTGCCTCAAAAGTGCAGTGTCCCAAGTTCAATCCCCAGTACCAAAAAATAAAATAAAATAAAGATAAAATGCCTCTTTCTATCCCAAAAAACAAGAAAGGAGCGACCAAGCAAGACAGAAACTTTTAGACAATGCCACCATACTCTCTATCCAGGCACCTTTCTCCCTTCATCAGAGGCCTCTTTTTATTCCTGACTACAAATATTATTGATTAATTTGACTGAATTTACAAATGTCATATACTTCAAATAAGTACTTAATTTAAAGAATTTTTTAAATTATTTTTCAGACATTGAAAAATTTTGTTGTGAAATAAGATAAAGTGTTCAGATATTTTCATTTAACATAATTAAATTGGATAAACTTGGTAGACATAGTGGCACACTCCTGTAATCCTAGCACTTGGGAGACTGAGGCAGGAAGATTGCTCTGAGTTTGAGGCCAGCCTGGGCAATACAACAGTGAGTTAAAAGGCCAGTCTGACCTACATAGTAAAATCAAAATGAACAAACAAAAGTGTTCAAATAAACTAGGTGTGGTAGTGTACACAGTGTGATCCAGCACTCTAGGAGGCTGATTGCAGGTTTAAGCCCAGCCTAGGCAATTTAGCAAGACCTGGTCCCAAAAAATAAAAGTGGCTAATGGGCCAGGGATTTGGCTCAATGGTTTCACTGCCTGCCTTGCAATTGGGCCAGAGTTCAATCCCTTGAACCAAAAAAAAAGGCGGGCGGGGGGAGGCTAAAGATGTAGCTCAATGTAAAGGCCCTTCATTCAGTCCCCAGTACCCCCCCCATAAACGCTTAAGTTTTTGCTTTTTGTTTTAGCTTATTGTTTTAGGAAATTGAAATAAAAATACTTTATAAACTTTGAAAAAAATATTTTTATTTGCTCATTTCCCTTAGCTGAGATTCATTTCTATTTGAAAGCCTAGACTTTTGAGAACAAACAGAAGTGTTAGTAACTTTTCTGATAATAAAAATAGTGCTTTGTCTATTTTGTTTTATTCTGATGTGTACACTCAGCACTTGAAGGCAGTACCCCCCTACCCTGTGCTGGGAATCAAACTCAGGACCTGGCACTTGCCAGGCAAGCACTGTGCCACTGAGCTCTACATCCTTGGCCCTGGGCAGCCTATTCTATAACACAAGTGGACAAAGGAGAACAGAGAGTGGCATTAAAGGTGTTGGAGATAAGAATTGAGGTGAAATTTCTGTCATTAAGGAAACAGAATTCCTCTCACCTTTGCATGGGATCAGCGTTCATGATTGTATCCTTGGAACTATCGTTTTCCTTAGGATTAAAAGCATTCATAACTGTGTGGGTCAGTGTCCAATTTTGCAAATTGAATAACGTTGTTTATCTTTACAGAACTCAACAGTGACTATTGAAGAATTCCATTGCAAGCTCCAAGAGGCCACAAATTTTCCTCTTCGTCCTTTTGTGATTCCATTTCTCAAGGTAATTCTATGAGAACTACTGAATGTAATTTATCTTCAGTATTTCCTGAAGTGTTCTACTGATCCCTGTTAATGGGATCAAAATTAGGGCAGCTTGCCATCTTCTTAAGTATTTATTTTATTTTATTTTGGACTGGTAAGGAGATGTGAGTCTAGTCTGCAAATAAGCCTGATGCTTGAGGAAATGAAATTTCAGGAGCCTTGAGTTGGGTTCTGTGTGTACTATTGGTAATGCTTGCAAGGACAAGTAGTTCCAGAGGAAGAGGTAAATGGGCTAGGGGTGTGGCGGGTAGCTGTATGCTGAAGAGATTGCTAGCCACTAAATCTTTTGAATATGACCAGAGGGAGAAGAGTATGTTTTACCTGAGTGGAGCTGTAAGGAAAGGAGAGGCCTCTGAGGTTTGAACTTACTCTGAGGTTGGAGGATGTGACTGAGCAATATGTATTTGTGTCTCCCCAAGCCCTGTTTATTTAGTCTTCATAATATCCTCAGGAATTACTGTTCCTGGAACATAACTTTTGGGGACACTGTTCTAAATCATTGCTTTTACTTGATAAGTGAGGCAGTATTATATTTATATGGAATGTGGGTCTTTTTAAAACATTTTTTTTTAAGCAACACATTAGTACATTTTAGATATACATAATGATAACACTCATCATAGGGAATTTGCACTTGTATATGATATATCCTGCCTCTTTTTTCCCCACCTCCCTTCCTTCCCCTCCCTATATGCAGAGGCTTTGTTTCCATTTTTTCCTTCTTAAACCTTTATTTTATTTATTTATTTTTTTGGTACCGGGGATCAAACTCTCAGGTCCTTGTGCTTGCAAGGCAGTCGCCAGAACCACTGAGCAAAATCCCCTGCTCTAAACCTTTATTTTAAAATTTCACACTTACAGATAAAGCTGCAAAATGATACAATAAAATTTTTCTATAACCTTCACCCAACTTCTCCAAATGTTGACATATTACCACACCATTATTTTTGTTTTTCTTCAGAACTGTTTGAGAATAAACTGCTGCCGGGCACGGTAATGCATGTCTGCAATTCCAGAACTCTGGAATAATGAGGCAAGAAAATAACAAGTTCAAGCCTGGCCTAGACAACTTGGGTTTTTTTTTTGTTTGTTTTGTTTTGGCAATTTGGAAATTTAGTAAGACCCTATTTGAAAAAAGGGATGAGGTGATTTAGTGTGACAACCCTGTGTTCTCAGTCCCTAGTACCAGAGGGGGAAACCTGCAGATAGTGTTGAAACTGGATGTGGTGACACATCCCTATAATCCTAGCAGTTTGAGAAGCTGAGGCAGGAGGATCACAAGTTAAAGCCCCATCTGGCCAATTTGACTTAGCAAGATGCTATCTCAAAAAAAAAAACTAAATAATAATAATAAGGCTGGGGATGATGTAGCTCAGGGCAAAGGCCCTGGCCTCAAGGCCTAGGGAAGGGAGAAGGTGGGAGCAAAGAGGAAGGAAGGAAATATTCATACAATACTATTTATCTGACCTGTAGTCCTTCTTTATGTTTTAATGGTTTCCCATTAATGTTCTTTACAGGAAAAAAGACAGACAGACAGACAGACAGACAGACAGACAGACAGACAGACACACACACACACACACACACACACAACAAAAAACCCATGTTTTTTTGTAAAGCTGGATATAACTCAGGATCACTTGTTTCATTTTATTTGTCTCTCTAGTCCTAGTCCACTTTAATATGGAACATTTCCCATCTTTTTATGTGCTTTACATTTTTTGAAAAATACAGCTGGTCATGGTGGTGCACGCCTGTGATCCCAGCACTTGGGTGGCTGAGGCAGGAAGATCGCTGTGAGTTCGAGACCAGCCTGGGCTACAAAGTGAATTCCAGGGCAGTCTCAACTACATAGTGAGACCCTGTCTCAAAAAACAACAATAAAAAAAGAAAAATATAGCTTGGGCCCAGAATTTAGCTCAGTGGTTCTGCCGACTGCGTCGCAAGCACAAGGTCCCAAGTTCATCCCCTGTACAAAAAAAGAAAGAAAAATATAGCTTGTTTAATAGAATAAACCTCTGTTTTGTTCTGAAGCGTTCTCATAATTAGAATAAGTGACGCATTTTTTTGGCCTGAATAGTAAAAGGCATCACTGTATCCTTCAGAAGACATATAGCAACTTTTTATCCTTAATAATGTTGACTTCAGTCACTTTGTAAAATTGATTTTTGCCATGCTTTCCCGCTGAAGTTACTGTTTTCTCCAATTAAATGGTAATTTTCCAAAATAGGTAAGATTATGACTGACTCATACAGATAAGAAAATGAAGCTGTCAAAGATTTTATTCAATACATAATTAATGACAGAAATCAATAAGATTCACAGCCAATTCAGAGGAGCATCCAGATAGCAGACACATTTACAGATCAAACTGTACAAACACAGGTGAAATGAACGTCTTCTACAATAAGCAAGGGAAATTGGTTGAACTTCTCACAGACATAATTTGACAAGTTATTTCATATCAGTATCATTTATCTAGAAGTTACAGAGTTGTAAAATAGCACAAGGGCAGCGAAAAGACTAGTCAGATGATCAGTTTGTTTTCCACCAGGTCGAGTGAACTATAACCCAGATCCAGCCCATAATACGGTTTTGTAGAGCTAAGAATAGTTTTTACAGGGGAACATTTGCCATTGACTTGGTGATAGGAAATAAGTAACATGAATCCCAGTTAAACTAAATGTTGTCATATATCCCACTCTGCACTGGGGAATTGAACTCCTAAGTAGATAGTTTTACAGGTGTGTACTACTGCACCCAGTCATTCTTTTCATTAGCAATAGATTAATATTATAAAAAAAAACTGTACTCGGTTGTTAGTGCGTGTTGAATTTTTTCATTTTTGGTACGGGGGACTGAACTCATGACTTTGTGCTTGTGATGCAGGCATACTGCCACTGAGCTAAATCCCTGGCCCAGTATCTATTGAATTTTGTCAGCACAATATTTGTGAAAAATTTTTTTACTTAGTTTTTTGAGATGGGCTCAGTAGGTAGCCCTGTAGTCCAGGCTGGCCTCAAACTCAAGATCCTTGTCTCCTGTGTGTTGGGATTACAGCCATGAGTCACCACACCCCACTTATATAATAATATCTTGAATTTTTGCCACTTGACTCACACAGGCTCATATTTTTTAGCCAAGTAAATATGTCCCCTTTTCTTTCACCTGATTATTTCCTAAGAAACTGTCAATATCCAAAAAATGACTCATCTTATTAAAGTACTTATACCAGATTTTAAAACATTTTGAGGATATTGCTTAGTGGTAAAGACTTGCCTAGCATGTGGGAGGCCCTGGGTTCCATCTCCACCACTGCAAAAAAATAAATTACAAAAATCATTTGAACTGGAGCATAGTAAACATAGAGGAAGGAAAATGTGTAATTTCCAAGGTGCAGAGCCCATGTTGTGCTCTATTCTAACAGCATAGAGCCATGTAGCCCAAGCAGCTTATAGCCTTTTCCAGACAGAATACAGGGTGCTTTCTCTCTCTGGGTCCCTTTTCATAGGTCAAACTCACTAAGAGTTATTTCTCCAAGCCTCTAGAACCAAGAAAGATTAATGAAATTCCATGTTAGCAGAAAACAATTTGCATTTTTGTTCACCAAAGGACACATCACAAATGTAAAGATTTGATGCAATATTTTTTTCCAGTTAAGTTTTTATGGTTGCAACAGGATTGCAATTATAAAACAGACTTTTAAAAAGTGTTTTGTATTTTCAAATTTCCCTATTCTTAACTCTATTATTTTGGAAAGCAGCATGAGGTAGGTTGTTATGGCAGCTTTTTGGCTAGCATCTTGGGTTTTTCAGTTCTGCTTTAAAACAGTCACTAATTATGGTACCTGCTAAATCTAAATTAACCCTCGGTGAAGGGATGACTACTTGCATGTATTAAAATCCCCCCTTTTTTTTTTTGGTCTGTCCCTTGATATAATGAAGGCTTCTATTATGAGCTCAGCCTGCATTATGTTTAAATTTAGGGAGAAAAATATAAATCTTCTTTATGCTTTCCTTAATAAAAGAGATATGAAAAAAGCAAGTTCTTTAGATGGAATAAATTAGAATTCTGAAGTTTAAAAGATGAGTAGAGGGATTTTTTTTTTAATGATTTGTTCCCGTTAAAGGTTTTCTGCATAAGAGTTAAGGAATATCATTATTTAATTAATTCTCTTTTCACAGATTACATTACTTCTTATACTCCTTTTCAAAACCTCATGTTCCAGAATAATCCCAGTATACAGAATTCTAGGGTAGCTCTCCAGAGAACAAGAAGATGGAGTAATGTCAGTGATGGGTTGGGATTCAGAAGAGAGAAGTCAAGCCTTATAATGTAGAGTTAAGAAGGAATTTCTCCTACTTAAAAGTAGGTAGTAGCAATTTTCTAACTGGCCAAACTTTTTAAAAACAGTGTGTTTTCAAATTATGTTCTAAAATCTTTATTGAGGTTTGACTGTATACAACTGCAAAGAAAGGTAAAAGAGTCGCAGTTCTTTTTAGGATTTACATCTTCTTAGGGCCAGAAACAAGTTAATCAGTAATTCAAGTACAGGATACTAGGTGTCACCTCACAAAAGAGGCTGATAAGAATGTTACTGACTTGGAGAGCAGTGCCTTTGTCTTGTGTTACCTGCATTGTTGAAAGCCCTTTGAGGTGCTAATCCCTTTTGTATAGGGCCCAGCACTGGGAAAACTGCCTCTTCTTTTCAAGGCCAACCTGCCCCTGCTGCAGAGAGAACTGTTGCACTGCGCTCGCGCTGCCAAGCAGACCCCATCCCAGTACTTGGCCCAGCACGAACACCTTCTGCTTAACACCAGTATCGCGTCTCCTGCCGACTCTTCTGAGCTGCTCATGGAGGTACATGGAAATGGAAAGAGGCCCAGTCCGGAGAGGTGAGAAGAGATGTGCTGTTCTTGCTTTTCTAGAACTTCTGATTTCCCTTTGCTTATGAAAGAAAGACTTACAGGTCTGAGGGCGGGGGATTTAGCTCAGTGCTGCCACCACCTGCCTTGCAAGTGGAAGGTCTAGAGTTCGATCTCTGGTACCCCCCCACCCACCCCAAAAAGAAACAAAGAATTAGATCCCTGGGGTTGTAGATGCGTAACCAAGATTGATTTTGCTTTTTCCCTCACTAAAGAGGACTCTGCGCACCCTTAGTGAGAAATAGGATCCATTGCATCAGAAGCAAAAAAAACTCAATTTCTCCTATTCAACCATCAACACAAAAGACTTCTTTGATCAAATGTGTGGGAATTTTCCCCCATGCATTAAGCAAGCAGTCAGATTTGTAAGGGACATGGACAGGTTGAAGGCTCAGTCACTAAGACTCCCCACTCATGTTGGGCCTAGTGGTACACGCCTGCGATCTCAGCACTCCAGAGGCAGAGGCAGGAAGACTGCTACTACTTCAAGGCCAGCCTGAACTGCAGAGTGAGACCTTGTCTGAAAAAAAAAAAAAAAGAATAATTAAAAAAAGACTGCCCACTCCCTTCAGAGGCTAATCACAAGCTCTAGGTTGTTTTTCCTGTGCTTCTGAATCTCTAAAAAAAATCTGGCTTCCTATAAACACCTTCCTCAAGTTTGATTAATTTTCTCCACTGGCTCAAAGAACTCAGGGAAACACTATCCTTTCCTGGATTTTTTTGGGGGGGCGTATCGGGAATCGAACTCAGGACCTTGTGCTTGTGAGGCAGGCACAATGCCACTGAGCTAAATCCCCAGCCCAATGATTCAGTTTTGGGTTTTTTTGGGTTTTTTATTTTGGTGTTGTTTGGGGATTTTTTGATACCAGGAACTGAACTTGCGACCTTGAGCTTGCAAAGCAGGCAACGCGGCCCACTGAGCTAAATACCCAGCCCAGTAATTGAATTTTTTGAGACAGGTCTAGTTATGCAGTTTAGACTGGCCTTGAACCCACTGTGTAGCCCAGGATATCCTCAAACTCAAGGTGATCCTCCTACCTTAGCCTACTTGAAGCCTCACATCAAACCTTTCTTAAGCTGGGCATGTTGGGAACAAATCCTTAGTCGAAGCAACTTTAGAGGCTGAAACAAAAGGATCACTTAAGCCCAGGAGTTCAAGGCCAACCTGTTCAACATGTGGAGACTGTCTCAAAAAGAAAAAAAGGCAGTTTTAGCATGGTAGTAAATGCTTATAATCCCAGCAGTCACAGGTCTGAGTCAGGACTACCAAGAGTTTGAGGCCAGCCTGAACTATATAATGGGACCCTGTCTCAAAAATAAACAGCCAGTGGGCATGGTGACATGTGCTTATAATCCTAGCACTTGAAAGGCCAATATGGGAGGATTGCTGTGAGTTCTAGGCCAGCCTGGGCTACATAGTGAGACACTGGTCAGCCTTAACTACATAGGGACCAGTGCCTGCCTTGTAATCACAAGGATCTGAGTTTGATCCCCAGTACCAAAAAGAAAGAAAGAAAACTACATAGGGAAACTCTATCCAAAATCCAAAAACCAATCAAAAAAGGGGGAAATAAACCTTTCCTTAGAAAGGCTGGAAGTGTAAGTATGTGCATATCATATACAAAGGACCTAGGTTCAATCCCTAGTACCAAAAAAAGAAAACCCTTTCTTACAGTTTTCCTGCTTGGGAAAGTACTGTGTGTAGCATCATACAAAATAGGCCAGTGCTTAGGAAATGTCTGCATGAATGCTTGATGACAAAGATACCATGTCTGGTTCTTCTACAGGAGAGAAGAAGGTAATTTTGATAGAGATACTGTTCCTCCTGAACCTCCTGCCAAGAGAGTGTGTACCATCAGCCCTGCTCCTCGGCATAGTCCTGCCCTCACTGTGCCTCTTATGAATCCAGGGGGCCAGTTCCATCCTACTCCTCCACCTCTTCAGCACTACACCTTAGAAGATATTGCAACTTCCCACCTGTATCGGGAACCCAACAAGATGCTAGAACATCGGGAAGTTCGTGAGAGGCACCACAATCTTGGTAAGTGACCTAGATAGCATGGTAATGCTTTAAATTGAGACAGAATATCTAGATTTCTTTACTTCTCAATGAGAAAATTAAATAAAACTGTCATTACTTTTTTTTCCTTCTGTTAACATAAAACAGCTGGGCACGGCAATGCAAGTTTGTAATCCCAAAATTTAGGAGACTGAGGTAGGAGAATCACCATGAGTTTGAGGCCCAGTCTACACAGTGAGTTCAAAGCCAGTCGGAACTACATAGCAAAAACACAAAAAATAAACAAGATAAAACAATGTCAGCTGGGTATGGTGGCACCTACCTGTAATCCCAGCACTTTGGGAGACTGGAAAGTTCAAGCTATGCCCAGACAACTTAATGAGTTAGTGAGACACTGTTTCAAATGAAAAATTTAAAAGAGAGCGAGGGTTGTAACTCTCAGTTCAGAGACATTGGGTTCAGACCTCAGTATTGCAAAATATAAAAGGGCTAAGAATATAGCCAAGTGCAAAGGCTCTGGGTTCAATTCCTAATACCACACATAAAAATTTATATGTGAAGGAGAATATTGCCATTACAGTTTTTCTCATTTGATACTGAGCTCACTTCGTTTTTTTTTTGTTTTTTTTTTTTCCATACCATGGGGATCGAACTTGGGTCCTTGTGCTTGCAAGGCAGGCAGCGGCACTGCTGAGCTAAATCCCCAGCCCACTTGATATCTTTTTGCCATCATAATATGCTAGAAATATCAAGAAAGAATTCTAAAAAAGTAATAAAATATATATAATAATGAGTGGGGGTTAAAACTGAACGAATTCTAATAAATACACTGAAGAATTAAAAGGTATCACTTACTTTTAAATGGATCAGAAAATAGAGAATGAAATGAAACCAAGAATAAAATATTAGTATTTGGGAAATATGTATGAAAGATATATGATAATTCTTATTACTCTTGTAACTTCTGTAGGTCTATTTTAGAGGTTTGTAGTTGTTTCCCTGGGTTTTTTTGGGGGGATACTGGGGATCGAACTTGGAACCTTGCCCTTGCAAGGCAGACAGCAGCACCACTGAGCTAAATCCCTGACCCATTTTTTTTGTTTGTTTGTTTGTTTTTTAATGGTACCAGGGATCATATTTTAACTTTCTGAGACAGGGTCTTTCTCTGTGGTTCAGGCTGGGCTTATATTCATGGCAGCCTGTCTGCCTCACCCTCCCAAGTTTTGGGTTTATAGGTGTGTGCCGCCATGCCTTGCTGATCCCACTGTGTTTTGTTTGCGGAACCTGGGATCAAACTCAGCACCCTGTGCTTGTGAGACAGGCAGTGACACCACTGAGCTAAATCCCCACCCTCAGTGTAATTTTGATCATACTGTGTTTTTTATTATGAAAGAGAACTTCTGTAACTGTTTCATGAAGTGGCAAGAACAGAGGGATAAGTGTGTTAGAAAGGGGAATGTTTTGAGGGGGGTAATGATAATGTGTCTTACAATACTAAATTTGATTTAAACATTCACCATGTATTTTGGTAACATTTTCTATAATCCGAATACACATCCTTACTTGGTTATGACATTTCGTAGTCTCACATTTTATTGTGAAGCATTTTCTTAATAGTGTGCTAAAATTTAATCTCTAATTTCTAATAGGTCTAAATGGAGGCTATCAGGATGAATTGGTAGACCACCGTTTGACAGAGAGGGAATGGGCTGATGAATGGAAACATCTTGACCATGTAAGAATCTTAGCATTATAACTTTTAATTCTCAATACTACCCACAGTTTGAAGTGAATATAACATTCTTGCTTTTAATAAAAGTTGGTCTATCTGCTACTCCCTAGACTAGAAAGCTCTAGCCACTTCCAATTCTTTGTGATAGCATGGTTTTGCCAGATCATAAATTAAGTAGTCATGTAGTAAATTATTTAAGCAAAGGCTTATGGCCGGGGATTTAACTCAGTTGTACTGCTGCCTACCTCGAAAGCGCAAGGTCCCAAGTTCAATCCGCAGTACCAAAAAACCAAAAACAACAACAAAAAAAGCAAAGGCTTATGAGTTCAGTTCAAAGGTTTGCCACTTGTCTTTGCTAGTTGGGTAAATTATGTCACTTCTTTTAGCCTTTATTTATTTATATATATCTGAAATACAGCATTATTTGAATTCACAAGAGGGTTGTAATAATACAAGAAGCTTATCACAGGGCCTGGCACATAGAGAATGTTACAAAGGAGCTCCTCCGAATAACAACAAAAATTAGTGCACTGTAAAAGGTTAAGTCACTGGAACTTCTTCAAATACAAACAGGATTAGTACACTGATATAAAATGTAAGCTCAGGTTCTCCTTCCCATTGGAAAAGATAGTTCCCATCTCCTTAAAGAAGAAAAGGTGTAGTGCCTACTTAAAATTTAAATGTTGTAGCTTTTCCTTCTTGAGTGATCATTGATCCTGGTCCTTTTTCTCTACATAAATTATTATAAAAATCTTTACCTTCATCATGCTAGGTAGAGATTTACTATGGTTTAATCATAGCCTTTAATGGCCATATTATAATGAAACTGAATGGCTGCTTCACCCATAAAGAATCTGAAAAGCATTATTTTGGAATCCAAAAACTGAAAGTCATGTGCATACTAACTTTTAGTCAGCGACATGCCACATATATGATCTCGATCCCATAAGATTATATTGCATCCCCTAGTGAAGTCAAAGCTACATGCTGTGATGTTCACACAACAGTGAAATTGTCTGATGTATTTTCAGAATGTATTCTTGTTGTTAATAAACATATGACTATGTAAATTGAGTGTGTGTGTGTGTGTGTGTGTGTGTGTGTGTGTGTGTGTGTGTGTGTAAAATTGGTCCTGTGCATCCCCAGATTTCACTTCCACAGATTATACCTCTGGGGATGCAACCAACCATGGATAGAAAATTTTTGAACAGGGATGGAGATGTAACTCAGTGGTAGAGCACTTGCCTGGAGTGTACTAGGCCCTGGCTTCAATTCCCAGTGCCGTAAAATTTTTTAAAAAGAAAGTTGGGCATGGTAGTACACACCTGTTACACCACCACTCAAAGTTGAGGCAGGAGGATCACCATGAGTTCAAGGCCAGCCTGGGCCACATGGTAAGTCGATGCCAGCCTGAGCTAAAGCAAGACCCTGTCTCAAAAACAACCAAAAGACTGGGGATTTAGCTCGGTGGTTCTGCTGCCTGCCTTGCAAGTGCAAGGATGTGAGTTTGATCCCAGTACAAA